AGCTAAATATAGAACTAGAATCAGATGCTAATCTTATCTGGAGAACTGGAGGTAATGCTTGTAGAGTTGTACTAACAAAATTTCAACTATTTGTTCCAAAATTAACATTTAACTCAGAAGGACAAAAACTATACATGGAAAATTATCTTAAGCCCTACAAATGGGTGTACCTCAATGAAGTAGTAGAACGATCAAATAACACTCAACAGCAAACAGGTCATTTTAGAATTACAAATGCAATCTCAAAACCTCGCCATGTTTTAGTTTTTGGAATTAACGCGGCAAATATTGATTCACAAACAGCAAATCCTTTTCTTTACAATACTTTTAATCTACCAAACAATGCTAAAATGTCTCGCTGTTATCTCGAGGTTGGAAATGGAAATGAGTACCCTGATATTCATTTTAAACCAAATACAGATCCAGCAAGAGTTTTCAGAGAAGTAATGTCATACGTTTATGCAAATAACGACTTTCAAGGTGGAACACTACTTAATAGATCAAATTTTGAGTCTTTGTTCCCGTTTGTTTACTTTGACCTAACAAAACAAAAATTGGATATAAAAGATGGAGCTACAAAATTAGCATTTCACTACGAACTATCTGCTAATCCAAATGCTGATTACAATTTATACGCTTTAGTCTTACATGAAAGAATAGCAGAAATCGAACAGCAAGGAGGAAAACTATTGCTACGTGCTTAATCTAATACTAAATATAAATAATGTTAAAAATACTAGGTATTAAACGATTAACTCCATCTCAAGAAGAAGTATTTAAAAAATTATTTAAAAATAAAATAGGAATATATAAACCAAGTATTACTTTTCTTACTATTAAACAAAAAAGGGATTTCGAAAAAAGATGTGTAGAAGAAAAAATATTTAGTTCTTACGAAATTAATGTTAATTATAAATATAAAAATGATTATAATAAAGTTCCTTTTCTTATATATCTAACAAAAGAAAAAGCAAAAGAAAATATAAACGCAATAAAGAATGAAAAAAAATATATTATTAAATTTTCTGGTTTACACTTTAAAAAAGTTTGCCGTCAAACACTTAATAATAATATAATACTGAATAACCTTATTGTTAAAGCATTAGAAAATGAAGGGGAAGATAATCCAGGAATATATTTTCCACCAAAAGCTAATTATTGGACAATGAAACCAAGTAAAGAAGTTAATCTTTATAAAAAACCATCCAGTAAAACATATACAATTGGCTCTAAAAAGAAAACATCTAATGATTTAATGAAAAATTTTAACATTAAAGATAAAATAGGAAATTATTATCCAAAATTAATTTATTTAGAAAATAAAGTATTAGTAAAATATTTAAGTAAAGTCAAAAAAATTATTAAAGCAGAAATTAAATTTGGAAAAGAAAAAGTAAATAAAATTGATGATGTATATATTCTAGAATTTATTTCCTTGTACCAATTTGATAAATCAAAAGGATTTATTTTTTACTTACAAAATCACAAATAAATAAATTAATAGAGGCAAGAAAGAAAGGAATTAATAAAGGTAAAATGAGTATGATAATAAGTATAAGTCAACTTGCAAAAACTTATAAAGAAGTAATAAGAATAAATAGTTATATTTATTATTATAAAAATTTTAGAAGATTTAACCAACAAAAATCAAATACACCAAAACTATTAGCTATTACTGATAATCCTCATAATAACCAAGAACTATTAGAACTTACAGAAGATTTAATAGACTTTGGAAATGAAGAAAAAGATTTAATAGACTTTGGGGATGAAGAGATAAAAAATTTAATTGATTTAGATACTATTATTCCAAACCCAAAACCAACCCCAAAAGATCTACTTAATGATGAAGAGTTATTTCCAAAAGGTAAAAAGTATAAAGTTTTACAAAATGAAGATCTTATTCCAATAACTACAAACCCATCTACTAATGGTGTAAATATTCTAAAAAATATTTTAAACTACCCCGAAACAAAAAGAATACTTGGCATAAGTTTAACATCAGATCTAAAAGAAAAAATAAAAAATTTAGACTCTGAAGCATCATTTGGTATGGCAAGTATACTAAGTTCTCTTTTAACAGCAAATCGTGGAAAAATGTCAATATACTCAATAAGTAGAAATCAATTAAAAGAAATTATTGAAGGATTTATTACAACATTAAGTGTGCTACTAAACCCAACACAAAAATATTAATATAATTCTATAAATAAATGACAACTTATTTTGAATATAAAGTAAAACTTACAGATGGACAAAAGTCAAAATTGGCTTCTGCAATATTAAATAAATCACCACTAACTCTTCGATTAAAACATGGACATCTTCGAGGTTCTGATGAGTTAATGTTGACAAAAAGACAAATTACTAAAATAAAAAAATCGATTGCAAATGGCACAGGATCAGATATAAAAATAAGTAAAACACAGATTAGACGTTCTGTAAAACATGGTGGAAACTTATTTTCATCACTCGCATCTCTCGGAGCAAAAGTTCTTCCTTACGCAGTAAAAGGAGTTTCAAAAGTTGTTCCTGCATTGGCAACTGGTGCTGCTACTGCACTTGGAGAAATTGGATTAAATAAAATATTTGGAAAAGGAATTACAATTCCCCCACAGTTTTTCCCAATGTTACCTCCTCTTGTAAGAGAATTTACCAAATCACAAATAAATCAAATTAACAAAGCTTACAAAACAGGTGGGCGATTAGTTATAAAACCAACTCGTAAACAGATAGAAGGAGGATTTCTTGGAACTCTTGCATCTATTGGAATCCCAATGGCAATTAGTTTAGTATCTAAGATGTTTGGTGGTGGACTTCAGGTTGATAGAAGTGGATCATCTAATACAGCAAATGTTTACGTTCCACCTCCTCCTCCATCCACACATGGAGAAGGTTATCCTTATCACTCACCACCCTTTATCGGTACATGGGGAAACCCAATTGGAATGGGGGTTAAAAAAAAAAGACCAAATCCAAAGGTTCAGGACTACTACTAGGAAAAAACAGCCCATTCAATTCAATTCCCATTCTCGGAACCATTTTGTAATTAAACCTCTATCCAACTTTGACCTCATGGAATGGATAAAAAGACTTGGTATTAAACATTTTAGAGGAATTTACAGTCGAGATGGACTACCAATAAAGATTAGAAAAGAATGTGGAATAATTAATCTCGATGATATTCAAGGCCCTGGAACACACTGGGTTTGTTATAGAAATATAGACAATATAGTTGAGTACTTTGATCCATTTGGACTAATAATGCCAAATGAAGCATTAAAGTATTTTCATACTTCTGGAAAACGTATAGTTTACTCAATGGATGAAATACAAAATTGTAATACTGTTCTCTGTGGTTAATGGTGTTTATACTATCTGTTTGAGAGACAATGGGGTAATAGTATACTGGATGTAATACATAACCCTCATTTTGATGATGACAACAGTGATTTTATAAAAGCATACTTTGGAGGATAAAAATAATATTTAATAAATATTATTTTTTTATTCCTTAAAACTTATTTCATATATTTTTTTATTATTAGAGTAAATTATAACACTTTCAATTTCTTCCTCATCTTTTATATTAAAAATCTTCTTAAACCATTTTTTAATATTTTCTTCACATTTATCTAGAACTTTAGATATGACTTCCATTATATATTACTTATTTATTTTTTTAAATCATTTTATTCACTATCATCTGGTAAATTCTTTAGTTTCTTAACACTCTCAACTTTTTTATTTAAATCTTTAACACTATCAACTATTTCATCAAATTTCAGATAAATGTCAATAAGACGAAAAAGTTTATTCTTTTTGCCACTATCTAATTTCAACCAAGAATATTCCTCATTTCGAATTTTTCCCCACATCTCACATTCACCAGCCATTAGTATTCTAGAAAGATCATCATTACTCTTTCTAAGAGTTTCAAACTCATTTACTATTTTTTTTCTTAATTCTTTCTCAAAATCTTTGAGTGTTTTAACATCCATCTTTTTTTCTATCTCAGAAAAGAATTTGGCTTCCATTTATTATATAAATAGATAATTACCTTTTATTATATTATTCAACGTAATTGATTTTTCACTTATTTCCATAAGCAACTGAAATATTTTTATAAATCTAGTGTCATTTTCCAGTCTAGGAAAATTAGCATATTCATAACTCATATTAAGTGAATTATATATCTTTTCAAGTTCACTTTTTACAAAATTAGATCTAGTAGACATATTTTATCTAAACATTATATTAAATGAAAGAGTCATATTGTATTGTAGATAAAAGAGTAACTCCTTGTACAGAACCAAGTGGTTATCAAAAAGATAAAAGAGGTAGAACTCAATTCTTTTGTAGATGCGCAGTTTGTGGAAACAAAAAAGTTAGATATGTGAAAACTGGAACAGCTTCTCAAAGTGGAAGTGGTAAAAAGAGAAAAACAAAAAAGAAGTCAAAAAACTAATCAGCCCGTCTGAAGGGGCGGGCGTATTTGATACTGTTGTTGGTACTGCAGTTGATGGATTTGTTCATTATGGTTTACCTTGGATGGGTAAGAAAGCAGTTGAAAAGGGACGATATGGAGCAAGCGAGTTAATGAGAAATAAAAATCTTCAAAAAAAAGCTGTAAATTACGGGATTAATAAACTCACTTCATTTATTCAAGATTCTGTTGGAACAGCTATGGACCAGTTATCAACAAAAGTTAGACCAAAAAATAAATATAAAACTGATAGACCAGAGTTGGATGGAAGAGGAATAGATATTCACAATGCTATTCTCAAAGTAGCACCCAGTAAAGGTTTCGTTTTACCAGGCCATAATTATACTGGTCCTGGTAATCCTCTTCATAATCAACTACGTCATGATGATGAGGGTAATATATTAGAAATCTACCAACAACCAACAGGACCAACTGATGCGGTTAGTATGCAACATGATGTGGATTACACAGTTTGTGGAAATAAACCAAAAAGTGAACAAGTAAAATGTAAAAATGAAGCTGATAAAAAAATGATAAAATCACTAGATTCCATTCCTTGGAAAAAAAGACAATGGGGGCATGCTATGGCTAGAACTATGATAAATACAAAACAAAAACTTGGAATGGGTTTAAACGCGCGTCGGCGTTGAGTAGTGATTGGTCTCAACAATTAGCCGACGAACTTCACAAACCAATCACAAGAAACTTTCAAAAGAGATCAGTAATCTCAAACGGGATTGATGATATCTGGGCTGCTGATTTAGTTGAAATGCAAAAGTTTAGTAAATGGAATAAAGGGATAAAGTATCTGCTAATGGTAATAGATGTGTTTAGTAAGTATGGATGGATTAAGGGATTGAAAGATAAAAAAACTGAAACTGTTAGTAAAGAATTTGATGATATATTTAAAAGTAAACGTAAACCTCAAATGTTATGGACAGATAAAGGTTCTGAGTTTATTAGTAAACATTTCAAAGAGTTTTTGAAAAGAGAGGGAATTAAACTGTATCACACTGAAAATGAAGAGAAATCAAGTGTTGTTGAGCGATGGAATAAAACAATGAAAAACAGAATGTGGAAGATGTTTACTGTAAATAACAACACTGTTTACTGGGATAAGATAGATAAACTGGTTTATGACTATAATAATGCGAGACACTCTAGCATTAAAATGACTCCTGTTGAAGCTAGTAAAAAGAAAAATGAGCGTAAAGTTTGGAATAATTTGCACGGTGATTTAATTTACTTGAAACCTGGTATACCAAAGTTTGCAATTGGTGATCGTGTTAGAATTTCTAAGTATAAGAGGCGAGTATTTGATAAAGGTTACACACCAAACTGGACAGAGGAGTTATTTGTAATTAGTAAAGTTCTTACAACAAAACCTATTACATATAACATTGTTGATTTGATGGGAGAAGAGATTAAGGGTTCTTTCTACGAGCAAGAATTACAAAAAGCAAAACAGCAGACATTTAGAATAGAAAAAATAATCAGGAGGGATAATAAAAAGAAAATGGCATTAGTAAAATGGAGTGGTTATCCTGATAAATTTAACTCGTGGGTGAGTTTGAAGGATTTGGTTGATTTTTAATACAAAATTTGTATTAAAAATAAAATCCTATTATTTACTCATTTTCTTCTTTATCAGATGAAAGTAAGTCTTCAACTACTTGATCAGTTATCTCTTCACCTTTACTATCACTATCACTATCATTATCACTACTTTTTTCATCAATTGTAAGTAAACTCTTTCTAGGTTCTAATTGTTTAACATAGCACTCGTGTACTTTTATTTGTAATGATGTTACAGTCTTACTTATAAAAATTCCTTCAATTATCAATGCTAATTTAACATTGCAGTACTGATTGATAGATTTAAAAGGATTTAAATCCCTTCCCCCTTTTCCCTTAAACAAAGATAATATTTTCTTTGATTTTTCTGAGTAAATAAGTTTTGCGTAAAGAACTGGAGCTGATGATTCATCAACTTTTGTTCTCTTTTTTCCTTTCTTGTCTGTGAATTCTATTTGTTTATAGTAAAATGGTGAAGATAGAGATGATGCTAGATCTGGTCCATATTCATTCTCTAAATGTTGCTGAGATAGAGTTGTTACATTATTAATAACATCAAAAAATGCTTTTTCTTTATTACTAGGTTCACTATCTTTAGACCAAAGACATACTGGAATACTATAACCAACTAATTTACCTGTTTCTTGATTTTTCTTTTCATTAACACCAAAACTAAAAAGAACTGGAGATTCAACTACAAGTGGTCCTTTTTTGTTATTTGGATATTTGACTTCAATTGGAATACGTTTGTATTTAATCTTGCTATCTTTGACTTTGTACTCTTTGGCTTCATTAAAGATAATATTCTCTTGGGTAATATTTTCGTAACTTGACAACTGCATTTTATTAATATTTAGTTAATCTTTAAATCATAAATCAATTTTATTTTTTAGGCCAGAGAAGATGAACACTCCAATAGTTTGATGATTCTGGATTATTATAAGTTAATTCTCCCTGTTTATTTTTTATCTTTGTAGCTCTAGAAAGATATTTATCTCTTCGCTCTTTATCTTTGTGAATAGTGTAGTCTGGATATTTTGGTGAACCAAAGTGAACTTTCTTTCCACCTGGAAGTGTTGCCATGTATTTGTTATTTTTTCGGGTTGAATAATCAAGTGATTCTGCACCAAGTTTTTTAGCATTTCTGGTTAATCTCTTAAACTCAGGACCAGTAACTATATATTTTTCTTTTGGAATATAATCTGGATCCTCATCATGTTTATAACCATCATCAACTATAAAATCCAAATCCTCTTTTGTAGGAGTAGTTTCTCTTGATCTTGGTTCCATTTTTATTAGTTGGTTATATTATTATAAGGTAAAACATTAACATTTAGTATTTTATAATTATCTTTTCTATATTTCAAAGCTACTGACTTTTTATTACAAATTACATCTTTATAACACTCAACTCTAATTTCTGGATTTGGATATTCTTTTAGTAAAGAAAATAAATTATGATCTTTATCATTTTTAATATCTTCCATTTTATCATATAGTGATTTATAAGTATTTTCTATATAAACTTTTTTCCCAGGAAAATGAATTGTAAAAATTTTTTGAAAACAATTATCCATTTATTAATTTAATATTTTATTATTTTAAATCGTTTTAAAACTTGTAACAAAAAATGTTATAAGTTTAGAAATCATCATCACTATCACTATCACTATCACTATCACTATCACTATCACTATCACTATCACTGTATTCTATGATATTAATCTTATCAAAAAAACAACAACCAACTTTATAATCAGTATTAATTCTTGTTCCTTCATAACATAATAATTCCGTTGCATTACTAAACAATCCATCCATTTCTTCCCTTGCATCATAATAACATTCTTTTACATTGATTTTTTTAACTTTATTAAAAATTTCTTTTAAATCAATGTCGCCATTTTCCACTGATTTAACTGTTTGTGAGATATTTCTATCAATATCTTTGAATAATTGGTAATCATCTTCACTATCAAATATCAATCCTCCTACTTTGAATGGATTACAAATATTTTTTTGACTTGTTTCTTTGCTTTTCGTTTTAAAACCCATTTCTATTCTGTTATATTTTTTTCTTTAATTCAATTTTATATTTTCTGCTTCTAAATAAATAATTATCTAATCATAGAGTAAGGGAGGGAGAGTAGAGTAGTGTAGTATAGGAAATGCTGACATCTGGCTCACCTCACTTTTTCATACTGACTATTCGAACAATGGAGCGATACTTGTGAACGAATGGAGCAATACGAGTGAGCGAAGCGAACGAGTTTTGCGCAATGAGTGAACAAGAGAGCGACATTGTGAGATGAGTCAGTATGAAAAAGTGAGGTGAGCCAGATGGCAGCATTTCCTATACTACTCTCCTCGGGATTTTGCCTTCTGGATGAAATCCTGCGAGGGCGATAAGGATCATCCCCGTCACTTGAAATAGCCGGAACTTGTGAGACTAACCTGCCTCGATTAGTTTAGCTACCTGCTGGTCAGTCGGATTGATTGTAAACAGTTGTTATATTTTGTTAATAAACTTGAGACTTGATCAGTCCAACGACGAAGCGGTTAATTCTGAAGCAGGCATGGGTCTTGCGTAGATAATTACTCCGTTTTATTTTCTTATACTCTTTTATGCACGAGAAAACCCATCATTAGTACCTGTACCTCTTCTGCAACTAAAACAAGGTAGTACCTTTTAAAATATTTCCCGTTCCTTTAATAATAAACGAGCCTTACTTTTTTAAAAATTATCATTATAACTTTTACTGCATATTCTGTTTAATTAATAGTTCGCAAGTATGCAGCTACGTCTACATCTACGGCCATACTTGACAAGGGTTACCCAAAGCGTTCTAGAAAGATTGAAACCTCTTTCTAACCCAAGATTTCGTTGAAAAACAGGCGATTTGATTTGAAAAACGCGCCACGAAAACGACGTTCCCAGAGTTAGCCATACTGAGAGGCCCAGAGTTATTTACCAAATAACTCAGTTTTTCAAAAGAAGTGTTGTTTTGCGGTTTCCTTAGTTAGCTTTTTCCCTAGCCTGTTCCTAGCGGTTAGATAGTAGGGCGCAGGCGAAAAATTGAAGAGGGAAAATTTGAGCGTTTTTCCCCCTCTTGTTCCTTTTGGGCTCACCGCGTACGATTTAACTTGCTCTCAACCATCTAAACACCTGGAGCATGCTACGTTTTCCCCTATATAAATAATTAGGGCTGGCCTAGTACAAAGGAAATTCTGAATCAAACTAGGTTGAATACTGATTTAACCTGAAGTCGATTAGACCTACGACATACACACCCCATGCACTTTATCATAACCGTTTGGGCTTCTTTTCATAAACTGTGTTCTTATGAAATATTCAAAACTCCCCCCTCCGGTTAAGAATAACTGTTTCCCTGAAGCAAGGACAGCCATTTCAACAATGGCCACGGCTCCATTGTCTCTAAGATTATAGAAATGCGGCTGAAAAAATATAATTTTTTGGAACAGTTCATTTAAGTGGTTTAAGAGCAAAGAGGCTCTACTGCGTGCTTCTGAGACCCAACGAGACTGCGAACCAAACGCTGTAAAATCTGCAGCAACAAAAAGTTTATTGTAATTAGGATGACGGGCTCCAATGTTCTTAACCAGTGATACCTGTTTCTTAATACAATTGACTAAAGTGGTAAAATTACCACCGGAACGCTTTAAAATCCCTTCCGTGCGCATATGAAGGGAAATATAGTTCGAACCTAGAGTCTTATTTATAAAGTCATCGGCGATTTCCAAAAGTTTCTCATTGAATGATAAATGGGACTTTGAAAGGGAAGGATAAATATTGTTTGGAAGTGCAAAGAAGGCTCGATTTAATCCTGTTCCGTTTCCTCTCCACTGCTGAATCCCAATACATGTACTTCCGTTGACCACTTTGTCAAGAAAAGATTCAACAGATCGAAGCATTCCGGAATCCACGCGAACAGTTTTCGATATATTGAAGCCAAATCTAGTTTGAAAACCTTGAAGTTCCGTTGTTTGTTGTCGGCGTGAAGCTTCTTCACCATGACTAAATCTTATCAGCAAGTCTAACTTGTCTCGGCAAACATTCTGAAATCTTTCCCAGCTCACCAAAGTGCTGTATCCGTGTGAACGTAGCGTGTTGTTAAATGCGCTCAGATTGTAGTACAATGCCAGTGTTTGAGTGTCATCACTGCTCACTTTATAACCAAAAAACATTGAATTATTTACAAAAGGTACAACAACTTGGTGTCCACTGTAGCTTGCTAAAGCTGTGAGGGCGATCAGATTGTTAGTGGCCATTGAAAGTTGTTCAAAATATCGAAATGCGATATAAAACTTTGCGTTTTTCCTCTCGAGGTGACTTGCATTGTTTTGCCTTGTAAAATTCTTTTGATTTATGAGCTCGTCACTCTTTTTTGTGAAGTTTGGTTGCCATTCTTTCTGGGTTAGCTTCCACTCGAGATAAATTAGAAACAAAGTTATCACAAATATTGCCTTAAAATAAATAAACTTTCGCCTTGCGGAAGACATTACTCGGCTCGTTCCTTCGTTCAGCGTCTCTGTCAGTGGCAGTTGGATAAAGAATTGGAGAGTGGTTTCGTGCATTTTACTGACACGTCACTGGACTCCAGTGGTGCCATGGCGTTTTCAAATGAAAATGCAATTATTTACAAACACATTGTGTTCAAAATTTAACCCGAGGATATATATTCTGTTTTATTTTTTATCTGAGAACCACAACAAAATGTGACCAAGAAATCTGAAAGTGTTCCGATTGTTAGTTAAAAGTTGTTACAAGAAGCAAGCTAAGATTTACCAAAAGAGTTTAGAAGCTTGCTACCTGTTGCTATTCAGTCCTTAATTAAAAATACAACAAAGAAAAAAACCAATTTAGTTATTCGCAAGTAAAAGAAAAAAAATTCTGTCCAATGGTCAAACGTTCGCTTAAGATTCACTTCTTGAGGGAGAACACTGCATGATTGGCCAATTAGCACACGTTACACTTAGCCAAGAAAAGTAAGAAGATAACAGTTTAGACGTTTTTAGACGCAGAGATTTTGAAAACAATATAATTAAATTTTTGTGAGGAAAATTTTAAAATACAATACAATAATTGGTTTTTTGATAAGCCGTATGAAATGGCTTCCTTATAATCAATAATAGCAAAACTAGTCAGTAAAACGTTAATTTACCAGCGCTAGCCAAAAGTTTGATGAACAGCATGTATCACAGCTAAAAACATTCCGGGCCATAACCATTTCTGAATATCGGTTTTGTGATTGCGATTGGTTCAGAAGCCAAAAGCAAAGCAAAATAAACTTGGCCGAAGAATACTAAAATGAATGGAGGTTGTATTTTTCTTAGATGGCAGCCATTTGCGGCAATTGGCTGAATAGGGCCTTTGCATGACTGTGATCACGTGATCAACTTTCGGCAAGCACGAAACACTTTTAAAAAATTTTGTTCACATAAGCTGAGGGTGCGTTTCTTTACTAAAATTCGAGATGGACCGGATCAAAAATCTGGATCATAAGGATTTTTCTCTAAGAAAAGAAACGATGTATCCAAAAAAGTATTATTTTTCGTTCAGTTCCATAGAAACGACCCACAATATCAATGGTATCCTGGCGAAAGAATAACACGGCTGCTCATAATGTTGCAAATTTGCTGATCTTTTATTGCATTCTGCCCTCTAATAAGAAAACGACGTTTTGTAAGTATTATTTTATAAAGAAATTCCGTTAGGCTTGATCCTAATTTTTGTATGATCAATTCCTCTTTTTATACCACTAAACTGTTTGTTTCAGTTTAGCATACGTTTAATTACAAAATACAGCCAACTCTCGCCTCGCGGGCAGCTTGCTTTTACGGACACTTCGATGATACACGGAGAGACTTTTAACTGAACTAAACTCCCGATATACACTAAGTGGCGTTAACTGTAACTTTACCGACACAAGCCAGCTGTCGTTTATTTGTTGCTTGGATTCGCTCTTTTCATAATAAGAAGGATAGAAGGCTCTATACTGAGTTGAAGTGCACTTTACTGACCCGTGGTCCAGTAACTCGTTCACTGAGGATCGTTCGTTACCGAAGGTTTCTTTAAATTTACTTGGCTTTGAAACTGCAATAATTATGGTACAACTTTTGCCGCGTAGAAGCTAAATCCTTTATTTAATTGCTCGTTTGGAGTGTCGTCAATCAAAACCATTCCAACCTGTAAAATACGGACACTTCTGTGACGCGGACAGTTGTGTATTCTTATCTTCAATATTGCATTTTACTATGGGGTTCGACATACCCTACCCACCTTAGGTGCCTAGTCTTGTTGCAAAAGTGCATTTGTTCGAATTATCAGAAAGAAGGCCTTTGACGCTCACACTGATCCACTAATTAAGAATCTTAAGATCCTTAAGTTAGAAGACATCTGTTCTTTGCATCTCGTTAAATTTATGTTTTCTTTCAAAAATAACTCAGTTCCTTCCAGTTTTTCCAGATCCATTTTACGTACTAATCAAGTTCACAGTTATAACACGCGTAGTTCAAATAGATTTTATATTCCTTTCTACTGTTCCAACATAAGGAGGTTTTCTATTTTCTATCAAGGTCCTGTCTTCTTCAAGCTGAATGCTTTGATTTGCGAAGCCCCCTCCTAATATTCGTTCCAATCCAGAGTAACCTGAGATCAGGCCCAATTTTAGCGGTTCTCATACATTCTCTCTAATGTAACGGCTACCACTAAAGTTGGGCCTGATACAAACTCTCACAAGTTTGTGCTCACTGCGGCCAGATTTTTGCCGCAACGCTGATTGGCTGTTACAACAATGCCACAAGATCTGATTGCCTGTTGGAATAAACGGAAGTTAAAAGCGCTTATTCCTCGCGTGGTTGTTTTCGCTAGTGATCAGCCGTCGGCGGAGAGAAGGATCGATTTTGCTGTCTGTTTTAGTGTTTTATGGTCTTATGGTAGCAAAATATGCCATAATACGTGCCATGGAAATTGAGAAAATTCAGATGGTTGTTCACATCTAAAAATATAAGGGCAACGGAAAAATAAAAATTTCAGTATTTTAAATTCAAGCGCGCTTAGCCAAAATATAAACCTTGTCACGGTTTTCGACGCCATCTTGACAAGTAGGCAAACGCGTGAGAAATTACGGTGTCTGTATGAGAATCTAATGTCGAATAATTTCCGTAAAACGGCTGTTCTGAAAAAATATCAATGGTAAACTAAAGCTGCAAATCAAAGGATTGTCCTCAAAGGCATACCTGTGCTTAAATTTCTTCAGAGGCTTGCTTTAGACTTTCCTTATATTTGTCTGTAATTTTCCCGGGACTTTCTTATAGACAAATGTATAGACAATTTTAAAAAGTAGTTCTAGGTCTCCTAGTGCATGTAACGCCCTCAAATTTTTTCAGGAGAGTGACGCTTTTGTTTACAAATCATATTTTTTTTTAGAACAGCCGTTCTACGGAAATTATTCGACATTAGGTTCTTATACAAACACTGTAATTTCTCACGCGTTTGCCTACTCGTCAAGATGGCGTCGAAAACCGTGACAAGGTTTATTAAAACTAGAACATCGTCTAGCCGTCTTTTCGAAAACTTTTTACCTTCTACGCCAACAGAAATAACCTTGTTATCTCCTTTAATCTCGTAAGAAGTTAAATGTGATTGTGCTGACTGTTTTATATTTAGTTTAACAAATTAAAAGGTAAAAGCTATTTTTCCCACGTATGAAAAAATTTGCATACTTAAACATCAAACAATAGAGGTAATTTTGGTTGGCTGATTCAGAAAATGTCAATCAATCAAAAAAGTGGGCGGCAGACGCTTCGTAGAAGGTTTGTATCAGGCTCTCTTTTCGTTTCGCCTTGCCAGCCAGGGCCCAGTTGCTCGAAGCATGGTTAGCGTTAACCAGCGTTTAATACCTTGACAACGTATTGGTTTTGATACTGCTTAACCAATGGTTAAAGCTAACCATGCTTTGAGCAACTCAGCCCAGAATGTTATTTACAAAGCCAAACGAAAATTGAGCCTGGCTAATCTAGGGTTAAAAACTTTCTTCTTTCATGTTACTGAAGTCTTTGTTTAGTTTTTCGTTACTTCATGTATTTTTAATGCGTTACTCCGCGAATTTCATTTGACTTATGTCCCTCCTGAGAAAGGCAGCTGATTTGATCCAACATAGGTCGTTATCGAAGCCGGAGCGAAACAAAGCGTCTGTTTGCTAGAAAGTTACTGTTACTTTAGACATATTTGCTACTAAAAGTTCGAACAACTCAACAAAACTTCACTTACCTCAGGGTAAGCTGCGAAAGATGCGTCTAGGTAAACTGCGAAAAGATGTGCTTCAAAGCTGCGAAACCAACAATTACTAAGCGAAAACAACGCTGCACAACGCTGCACGAAGGAAAAAAACGGCGTTTGCGCTGTAGTTTCACCGCACGTGTAAATACCAGATCCCGGCAGCCGAGCATGATATCGAGGACAAATGTGCCAAGCCGGTCCAAGACGGCGTCCAAACCAGGAAATCGCATTTCATACAGAACGGTTATTACTACCTCATGTACGGTACGCAAAAAGACTTAAATGGTATGCGTTCTCCTTCGTCGAAACGCAGCAAAAAATATACTACACGTCGTCCCAGTACCCCAACTTGGGGTACTGGGACGACGTGTAGTATATTTTGCATGTGTCCGTGTGTGTGTGTTTTTTTTTTTAGCTTTTTGCCCTATGTGGAAGGGATGGCAATTTTTTCTTCTAGTTTGACCATTTCAAACCATTTCTGGTATAGGGAAATTTTACAGGCCTAGTTTTTCTTCAAAACGACTTAAGATTCAGAATATGGCATTGATTGCTTGCAAGGGAGAATGATCTTTCCTCTTGTTGCTTGTACATGTTGTAGCTAACTGACAATTATATTCTCGATTCAAATTTTTATTTTCTTATACTCTTTTNTTATGTCCCTCCTGAGAAAGGCAGCTGATTTGATCCAACATAGGTCGTTATCGAAGCCGGAGCGAAACAAAGCGTCTGTTTGCTAGAAAGCTACTTTAGACATATTTGCTACTAAAAGTTCGTCTAGGTAAACTGCGAAAAGATGTGCTTCAAAGCTGCGAAACCAACAATTACTAAGCGAAAACAACGCTGCACAACGCTGCACGAAGGAAAAAAACGGCGTTTGCGCTGTAGTTTCACCGCACGTGTAAATACCAGATCCCGGCAGCCGAGCATGATATCAAGGACAAATGTGCCAAGCCGGTCCAAGACGGCGTCCAAACCAGGAAATCGCATTTCATATAGAACGGTTATTACTACCTCATGTACGGTACGCAAAAAGACTCAAATGGTATGCGTTCTCCTTCGTCGA